ACCTGATTGAGGTCCAGGTGGCGACCGACGCGACGTGCTTGCCGTCGATTTCTGCATGCATCCCATCACTCTTGGGTCTCTCGGAAGTCAGCTCTCACATCGAATGTTTTGGGAGAAACCAAGTAAGGCGCAAAGATTGGCCTACGTGCACGACTACCTCCGAGGATTTCGAAGCAGTTAGGCATGTCCACCCGGAGATCCCGGACGTGTTGCGTGATGATCGCGCCAAACAATGCCTATATAAAGGCCTTACCTCCAACTCTAGGGAAGAGATGTGCAATTTAGTTCTCGCAGCTCTTCAGCTCTCTCACATTTAGCTATCTTAAAATCTCTTATTCGCTAACTTAAGCATCAGAGTGCCCACCCCGGGTAAAGCGACCCAGGCACTCTGACACTATGTCCTTGCAGGTCGCATCAGAGCCACCTCTCCAGTTCGTCACCATTCAGCTAGGCATCCGAGTCACCTGCCAGCCGGGAGCTACCGAAAGGCGCATCATCACTATCATAGAAAAAGAAGAAAAGAAATGGTGGAAGAATAAAAATGTGTTGATTGGACAAAATTTCAAGGTCTTCCTTACTTATTGGTCACTTTTGAGGTTTTTGAGGGTTTAAATGTGTTGACTAAACCCTAACAGATAAGAAAGTGATAATAAAGAAGCTAATATGTTTTTTTTTTTTTTTGAGAGGGTAAGGAACAAAAGTTTTATCGGTGAAAGATGAAAATGTTACAACAACTTCCTAAAGCCCCACAAACAGGAAGAAGACATATTACAGACTCCAAATAGATTGAGTACAAAGCAACTGAAACAGATTCTGAGATTTAAACTCAGGGGAAACAGACATCCCAGAAGCAAGTTTAAACACTGCAGTCTGAATTAAGTCCTCCAGATTTGTCACTTTGTTGCAGAAAACCCTGTTGTTTCTTTAAGTCCATAAAGTCACTAAAACAGCCACAGGAATGGTTCTCCAGATCAGATTACCCTTTTTTCTTCAGGCCAGGGTAATCTCCAGCAGTATAAAAGGTCCTTGACAGAACCATGCATGACCCAGCAAACCCCAGCCGCCTTGAGAAAGTGTGCCCAAACTCTTGCAGAGATCAAACAATGGATGCCAAGGTGATCAACTGTCTCTGGCAAGAGCCCACAAAGGCCACAGTTAAGATCTGAAATCTGAACCCCTCTCCTAACCAAGTTCGTTCTCAACAAGCACTTATTTAGTGCCATCACCCAAACAAGAATTTTTTTTTTTTTTTATGAATGCACCCAAACAAGAAAATTATGTTTAGATGGGCTTACAAGATTCCACACCTGCTTACTTGGGAAATCAGAAATATTTGTTCTACTCAATTTTGAGGCCAAGGATTTAGAAGAAAAAAACACCATTAGCACTCTATCTCCACCTCCATTCATCCTCCAGATTAACAGAGATAGATTGCCTCTGTAACAGTTGCAGAAGGTCCAACAGCTGATCCATCTCCCAATCAAAAAGATTTTGTCTGAAGAGGGGGCACCAGGAGATTGAGTCCCCAACCACATCATAGGAATCAGCCACTGTGGCCTCAGGACTGAGGGCACATTGAAAGAGCAGAGGAAAGGCTTCAGCCAGGGGGAAGTCTAAACACCAGGAGTCCTTCCAAAACTTCAACCTATCTCCCTTACCAAACTTGAGAGCTAGGCCATCAGAGAAAGCTGAAAAGGATTTCATAAATCCTTTCCAAAGGGAGCACCCCCAGCTCTGAAAAGGATCCAAAGATTTCCAATTACCCCAGTCCACCCCATATTTAGATGCAATAAGGGTCTTCCACCAAGCAACACCAAACCTCCAAAGCCATTTGCTGTGAAGAGGAGTTAAAAACCTTCAACTTCCTTATTTCCAAGCCTCCATCCTCCACAGGGAGACAAACCTGATCCCACTTAACAAGATGGACTTTTCTTTCTTCCTCCCAATCTCTCCACAGAAAAGTTCTCTGAAGGGTCTCCAGATTCTTTGCTATTTTGGAAGGGATGGGAAAGAGCAATAAGAAATAGGTGGGTAGGTTTGAGAGAGTACTTTTTAGGAGAGTAACTCTACCCCCCCCCGAGGAAAGATACTTAGCTTTCCAGGAGGCTAGTTTCCTTTCCATCCTTTCTACCACTGGGTCCCAGATAGCACTCGAGGTACACTTGGCCCCAAGAGGGAGCCCTAGGTATTTCCAAGGGAGATGATCCACTTGGCAGGCAAGAACCTCAGCCAACTCATCCAAACAGTCAACTTGGCCCACTGAAAATAGAACACTCTTCCCCAAATTCACTTTGAGCCCAGAAAATGAACAAGTTAGTTTGTTTCATCATTATAATGTCTATTTTATCAAGGAGCTTGAATGTGGAGTATAAAGATGATGCCTTGGGGAGGGAGATATAGAGTAAGTGCAGTTGGATTTGCTTTTTTCGTCAGGTGGTGATTCAGTTCTTTTGCTTTCTTATTTTGGTGATTTCTTATTACCTGAATCTGTACTTGATCCATCTTTCTTTAATGATTTTTCTACTTTATTATAAAAAAAAAACAAAAATCTATATACTCATAAAAATATTATCAGCTCGGATTGGGATGGATCTGGATTAATCTGATTATTTAGATCCATATCTGGAAAACTGAATCCAAAATCAGATAGAATCCAGTGTCCAATCAATCGAGACTTGACAGTCCTAGTTCTTAAAACAGTTGATACATGCATACATTCCTGTTTTAATTGCAATGGAAACACAAAAAAAAAAAGAAGAAGTTAACACAACTCAACTACAACACATGATGGCTTCAAAATCAATTTATATATTAAATTGGTTTCTTCCACTCCCAGTTTGAAATTTAAGTTACAATCATACACCTTGTATTATGGGCAATGAAGAGTTGAAATATCTTTGAATGGAATTAATCTCCCACATACCTTAGTTATAAAAATCTCACGATCATTGGGTGATTTCATACAAAATTAGCTAATTCTTTTTTTATGAATAAATCAGCTAATTTCTTATTTATGCACATTACTCCTGTCCCTGATCATTAAAGATCAGTTGCCAAGGATCATCATGATAAATATATTTGATTAAAACTTTACAAGATTAAGTTCGAATTCATTACCTATATGGCATTTGAGGCTCACCTGGCAGTCTCCAGATATGTAACTAGCTTAACTGCTACTGAACCAGCTACTGTCAACTAAATAATTTCTTCATTTCTCATTATCATTGATTCTCTTGGCTGTTGGTTTGCAATCCATAACTTCCATCTTGTTGTAAACTCATATTGTAGACTTCTTCAGTATAAGAAGCTTTAGATTTTCTTGAAGTCTTTTCAGAACTAAACTGCTGACCACCTATCTTATATCTGCCACTGCTTGCTAAAGGAATCCTTCCTCTTCTGTCGGTGCAGAATGCAGTTTCTCCTGAATTCGACCCATAAAAGTCCCTATAACCAATATTTTGTCTATTTCCCTTACTCAAGATTCCATGAGAAGAACCCTTTCCAGCTCTGCCTCCATTGATATTCCCTGACTGCTGCCTTCCATCTCCATTACTTGATGCTTCTCTAATTACCTCCCTTGCTTCCGAACTAATTTGAAGCACTGAATGCTTCACGTAAGAAAAATTATCCACTAAACTATCATCTTTCCTTGAAGCTAAATCTTTGCTACGGGCCGCCCCTTCACTGCCAAGGCCACCTCGGCTTCTCTGTTTAGATAACCTCTTTGATTTCCTGGACCCATTTCCTCTTCTCACTGTAGACCCTCCAGTTCGAGCTTCTACAACAGAACCCGACAAATTCGAGTCCTTTTCATCCTCCGCAGCATACAAACTTCTAGAACCAGACGAACCCGCAATGCCCCCATATGGTTTGATGCTGTGAACAACACCCTTGGGGAAAAATCTCGCAGAAGGGAGTCCATCAGGAGTCTGAAACAGCTGCGGTCCATCCTTCTCCGTCCACAGGTCGAACCCACCGGGCTTCTGGAACCTATCAGCTAAAACCTTCAATTGTTCGTCGGCACTAACCGAGAATAACGTTGGAGCCCTCTCGACGACTTCCCACGGCCGCTCGAGCTCCGAAACTGCCGCTCTCAACTCCGCCCGCTTACGCATTTCGTATATCTGGCGCTCCCGGCAGAGTCGAGCCTTCAGGAGTTGCTTCGCCTTTTTCGCTTGCATTCGTTTCCACTGCCACTTCGATACCCCACCGGGGTACGTTCGAGGACCGCCACCCATTCGGATAATTGTCTGTCTCGGGGGAAAGGCAACCGTGTGAATTGAAAGCTGAGAAATCCTCAAAAGAAGACATTGTTGATCTGAACCAGTTAAAACCCTAAGAGACGACAGGTGGTTTCGAGGAGGTGCTGCAACCGGTGGAGACATTTGAATAATCGACATTTTCTTTGCCCTACTCGAGTAGTCGGTCTCACTGGATGAGGCAAGACCAATGAAAATTTTAAGCCCTAAATGTCTGCAGTCTGCCGGAGATCAAAACCTTAAAGACTCAAATACAGCCACAAACGAAGTCTGCAACGAGAGGAGCAAATCGCGCGCAAGAGCGCTAACACAAGTAGAAGAGAAGTGACAATTGTGGGAAGTGGGAAGGATTTCTCTCGGGCCTGACAATTATCTCCGAGCATTATGTCTAAAATGCAGCCCACCGAGCCAAAGCCCAATTCGAAGTTATTCGAACGAGTTAAGCCTTCGATTTTCAGGCTCTGGGCTGGGCCTGGATCTGGATCTGAATCTGATAACTTCGGCTTGACTTAAATTCAGGTTGCGCTTGGATGGAATCTTTTTGTGGAATTGGATATGCTCCACACAAGGGCGCCTCACATGCATATCTCATCATCATGCATTTGAAATATCTTTCATGAATAATAACGTATAAGTATGAAAGATGTTCTCAATACACGGTGGAGCATATCCTAATTCCACAAAATGCTTCCACCAAGCACAACCTGAATTTAAGTCAAGCCGAAGTTGTAAGATTCAGATCCAGACCAAGCACAATCTGAATATCTCCATTTTGTGTCAGACCAAGCTCAATCAAACCTACTAACATGATACTACTTAATATTTTATATTATGTTTAGGGAAATTTTCACTCTAGTACCTGAACATTGGGGGTAGCATTAATTCAGTATCCCAACTTTCAAACCTGTCTATCCGAGCTTTCAAAAAGAATCAAGTTGATCCAAAGTCATTAATGAACGTTAAGTATCACGTAAAAGGACAAAAATGTCCTTCATCTATCATCTAATACAGGTATTCACGTCAACGATAACCACCTCTATGGATTCAGGTATTCACGTCAACGATAAAAATACAAAAATGAACAAATATTGTTTTTATTAACAACCATGAAGAGAATCTCATTCATTCAAGATAGAAATCACGGATGGCATTGATAATCCTGGTGGTGCAGGAGAGCAGGTGGCGGTAATAGAGGTGGTGAAGGAATGGTCAAGCAGAGGAGGGGAAGGAGGGACTTCGGATCTCCTGCCCACGAGAACTATGCCCACACCTACCCACAATACACTATCTCCTATGAATTGGGAACATCTCTCCCTGCATAATACTATGCAGAGGATGAGATGTTCTGGCTGCGATAAATGTGGACAGAGTTCTTGTAGGACTCGAAAGGGAGGAGAGTGTAGTTTCCTGTTAGAGAATTGGTCTCGTACGAAGGGAGATACGTCACATATGCCTTGCCTTCGGCTAGAACAGTAACGTATAGACAAGAAAAAGATGCTTTCCCCTTTGCAGTTCCAACTTCCAAGAAAAATCAAATGGGCTAGAAACTAAGACATTGAGCAAAACATTGCCAATTAGCTAGCAATGTCTTCTTCCCCACACCCTTTAACAGAATCAGATTCCGCAATATATAGAAAAGAGAAGAACCCTGTTGTAAATCAATCTAGAGAGAGAAACGTCAATAACCCATTAGCTTTTTTTGGGCAAGTTCCAGTTGCATTTCCTTCATCTGTTCCTTTCCTGACTTGATTCTATCAAAACTAGCTAGATAATTTCTTTCTTGTTTCTCTCTTTTTCTTTTGTAACGGGTGTTTCATGGTTTCTGCTACTTTGCAACTGTATTGGGATCTCGACCAAGAGGAGAGCTACGTTGGCTGTCCATGATCTTGTTATGAACTGAAACCAATAATCACTGTAATAGGAAACAAGAATGAGGTGGGGAATGAGAAGAGTGACGTTTGGCCTAAAGGTAGTAGATAATGAACATTGTCTTTATTACTCTAGAATCTCAAACACCTCAACCGATTCAGTCTCAAGGTAGAAGAAAATGAACAGTATCTTCTTTTGAAAGTTAGTTTTGACATTTTAAAAAAAAAAATTAAGTTGCACATGTCATTACAGCAGGGACCAACTTAACACTTTTTAAAAGTTTGGGTACTTCAATGACACATTTGAAAGTTTGGATACTAAATTGACACTACTCAGGGTAATAATTATATTTCTCTCATATTTACAAACATCCTACACTTGTCTTATAGTAAATTGATAAAGTCTTCAGAAACAATTTAAATGGGCTTGCCATGGCCAATTGGATCTAACACAGTAGATGTGAATTCTCAAACGATAAGAATGGTTCCATGGCGTAACTGTGAGGATCCATTATTTAGAGGTTATCTGGTTTCTGTCTTCTCCTAGTATTAGTAAACCAACCAACAAGCCCGGCAAACTAATCTGCACACGCTCATGTTTGACATTTCTTCTTTCTTTCCCGATTTCATCCTCTCTGCCTATTATTTAAAATTTTAAATTAGATGGGTATTCTTTGTTTAATGCCAGTTTGATCTATTCCTCATGCTTGGTTGAAATTTCTGCTTGATTACACATGTGGTGGATGCTTGCTTACAGTTGCTTGATTAGAACCTGTTTGCAGCTCTTCTTCACAGACAAAATTCCTACGCAATTGGATCTTCTGGTTTGAAAGCCTGAGCAAGAATAAGGTATTCATTTTGCAGGGACATTTTTTTGTGATAAGAAAAGTGAATCCACTTTACTGAAAGACTTGTAAAATGAGAAGATTAAGAATTAATATATTGCTGCTTAATTTGCTCAATCTGGGATAGTCATGTTCTGTTAAAGAATCAAGCGTCCATCTAAATTCTGATTCTGCTACCATTTACAGTTTCCACCCTTTCAGAAACTAATTGTACTCTACATATCAGCTTTACCATGTTATGTTGCATACTTGCATCTGCATGTCAAGGTGCTGGTTTGCTCTACAATTTCAAAAGAAGCAAATGTTACTCTGGTTTCTGTGTGGGTACAGCCACAACTGGAGGAGCCCAGCTCATCTCCCGGGTAATTATTGCCTATCAAAATTCCAATATATATATATATATATATATATATATATATATATATATTAGAGAGCACACCAGATGGGATTGATACCTATAAACTTAAAACAGAGCTCGGTTGTATCAAAGGTGTTCGTGATGACTGATGTCCACGACTTCTCTAAGCAAACTTATATCAAAATTAGAAGCTGCTGCCCAACAGATAAAATGCATCATATAACTGCACAGAAGAAGACTGGGTATTTTGTTGATCTTTCTCAAGTTATGTTTCTTATTTAACTGGAACCCCTCAATCTTTATGGGGGCGGGGCGGCGGGGCCTCAGGGTTTAATTCAAAAATAACGACAGATTACACATTAATATTAGGTATTTACATAGTGCTAACCATGAAAGCAGATCACATTCCTCCTTCATTTACTCATCAAAAAAAAAAGATCACATTCCTCAAAACAAAACAGACACTTGCCAAAAGCAGGATACAATTCCAACTAATCCAAATCTGGTTAACCACCTCTTTTCTATTATTTTCTCAAAAGAAAAGCAGTATCTTTTAATAAGACAATCCTAATGAACCATTCCGCCATGCAGCTATCAGACATACAGCTAAACAACCACCTTTTGCTCGGGGCATATCCAATAAATGATACAATTGGAGGAATCACAGACTTTATAATCAAAAGGCTAAGTTTGGATGGTCAAAAGACTCAAAAAAGAATTGCAGAAGGAAAAGACACTTTCTTGAGTTGGATTCGTCGTTCCGTTCATTCTTTTCTACCCTTTTTAAGAAGTAATGAAAAGAACTAGGGCAAATGCTTTAGTAGGACTCATTAGTTAGCTTTTCAAGTTGGGTGGTTAGAATTTTCCGGTCGCATTGAGTGGACCAGACTAAAGCACTATGACAATTGACAAGTTGACAACCACCTTTAGTTGGATTCCGACGAAAAAAAAAGGCACCAAAGGTAACATGTCAAAACTCAAATGGTAATTAAAGAAAAAAAAATTATTACAAGTTAGGATGAATTCGTGAAACAAAAGGAGACACTAACTTACATTGTTTCTTTCTTTATCCATTTCTTCCCCCTGCTGAGAAACCCAGGGCCATATTCACTCTTCTTACCGGTCAGTTCCACCTCAAAAACAAAGAAACGGAGCAGAAAGCAAAAGCACAATCTCCTACACTACTAACACTATCAATATTCATTTCTGATCTGCTTTTCACAGCCACTAAATGGGAAATATCTCAAAGAAGTAGAAAATATTCTACAGGACTCTTGCACAAAAGAAAGAAGGATTTGTGCGTGCCTTCTCTTTCTCTCTCTCTCTCTCTCTCTCTCTCAGGAGATTTCCACATTAAGTAGAACAACAGTTCCTCTTGGGCAAATTCCCCGATGAATCAGCAACGTTGATGGTGGTCCCATGACCAGGGACACCAGTTGTAGAGGCTGCTTCCTGGGCTGCCAGTGCCTTCTTGCTTATGATGTGGTAAATCTCTGTCAATATAGTCTGGAATGCTTTGTCAACATTCAATGCCTCCAATGCTGATGTTTCAAGAAATGAGAGCCCTTCCTTCTCAGCCAAAGCTTGGGCATCCTCCTCGGGAACAGCTCTTAGGTGGTTTAGGTCAGACTTGTTCCCAGCCATCATGATAACAATATTGGAGTCTGCATGATCCCTTAGTTCACGGAGCCACCTTTGAACATTGTCAAATGTTTGCCTCTTGGTTATGTCATAGACCAAGAGTGCACCAACAGCTCCCCTGTAGTAAGCACTGGTGATGGCTCGATACCTCTCTTGACCAGCAGTATCCCATATCTGTGCCTTTACTGTCTTTCCATCAACCTGTTTCAGAAAACCAAATGTGTTGTTCCATTAACTTTTATTTCTGAGTGATGATTGACAAGAAGAATCTACAAATGAGAGACCCACATGTCTTTTGAAGTTTCATGTTTTCAGTGATAAAAAAAATTAAAAAAATCATATCTTCCCTGATTATGAAGTTATGATCCATGTAAATGATTTATACAACTAAGAAGAATGCTATCAAAGGGAAAAAAAAAAGTCCAACCACAGGATGATTACAATCTATTTTATGACTAAACGATGTATCCTCCTATTTTATTTCTGGCATTCCAAAGAATGTAATCTTGAGAAGATTCCAATTATCAAATCTGGTGATTTCTCAAATAGTAGATATATCATGTAGAACCCGTTCAATAGAAGGTTCATCCTACTTGCATGCGTTCCATGTGTTTGTATAAGGACACCACTAGTTGTCTTCTCAGTTCTCACTTATGTAGAATACCTACAATAAAACAGAAGTAGAAAAACTGGATCACCACTATATTTGCACCTAACTCCCCATAATTGCAGTGTAAAAGATTCATTTTCTCACTATTGTTTGTAACAAAACATTCAAGAGAAGATTAGGGTTATAATCCAAGTGAAATGCAAACAGGTGTGGAGATGCTTGGACAAGGACAATATAGGCATGGCTGATTTAAAGGATCTCTCATCAGATGGACAATTAGAATCCATTACATGGTCCCTCCCTAAGGCCCAAATAATCAGGAAAAGAAAAACTGACTGTAGCTTGAAAGTGCCCAAGAAAGAGAACGGAAAACCTTGAGCTGAACGTATATAATGTAGACAGTCTACATATACTGGTTGGACAAATACCCTTGTTTTATTTCATGTAATGGCAGTCACTTGTAGAGTTTTCTTGAACATAAAAGGGATGAGGAAAAAAATAAAGAGAATAGAACAGAACAAAGAAGAAAAGAAAAGCAGGCCAAACAAGGCCACATACAATGCATTCTTGTTAAACAGATGCTAATTATTTTTGAAATCATAGATTTATCAGCAGAAACTAGTAAGATTACACACTGGTACAGTGTAGTTGATATCTTCACTCCACTGCTAAAATCAATAGGGAGTCTCTGTTGTGAATCATTCAAGATGCACAGTGTTGATGTAAATTTAAACTGTTCAACTCTGTTTCACTGTAAAAACATTAGTTCCATTGCACCATACACGATTCACTGTTGTATGGCATGGAATCTCCTAAATGGATGAAGGATCCATGTAGCACAAACATTGAAATCTTACAGCAAATGGATTCTTAAGGGGAACTTGTATGTATTGTTTTCATTTTTTTCCTTTATCCTTTTCTCTTGATTGTTTCACATAAATGGACAACTAACATAAATTATGAAAACCAATTTTTCTCATTAAACATTCCAAGATAAAAACAAAAATAATAAACTTTAACATTTGTAATGACCTTTCTTAGGTAATTGAATGTTAAAATTCACAAGAGATCCAATTCTTTTTAAGTACGTAGGTTTCTGCATTTACCATGCAGTATGCCTATGCCCTTTCCTCTAGCTAGCCAAATGTTAAACTTCACATTCACAAGATATCCAATTATTGGACAGTACATACTTTCTTGCATGGGTATTCAAATCCTTGTTTTTTGAACTACCCACAATGCATCTGACTCTTGCTCTCGTGGGCATGTCCATGCAAAACTGACATGAGAGTCTCATGAGTAATACAGTTGGCAGTAGTCTTTTAACCCATACTGTGAAAATAATTGGCTAGCAGTAAGATTGACCATCTGGAATCACATGAACCGGATGGCCTTACCATTTGATCCATCAGAGATTAGTAAAAGTGGCCCCCACTGTTATGGCCATTCAAAAGAATGAGACACCTTGTAAGGTTGCTGCCCTGCAAGATACAACTGGTAATCTGGATAAAGGACAAGATGATCCCTTTCAAACAGAAAATCCTATGTGTCCGTCGACCGTCGGCATCTCTGTCCTCTATCTTTGTTTTGCAATAAATACCGCAGCCACTATACAAAGATAAATCCATGATTTGCCACATCAGTAGTATTTAAACTTCAGTTAATAGCTTTTCTCGTTTCACCATTTCACAACAAATCCGGGACCGTCAGTAAATGCTGCCCGTTCAAAACCTCGATTCAAGTATTGGTTACACTAGATAGTTTCTTTTAAAGATAAAATAACCGTAATGATTGAAGTCCCAGGTAAGAAAAAAAACACAATAGTTAAAGAAGCACAAAACATACAAACTAGTTCCATTGCCAGGAAAATATACATTAGAATTTTAGCTTTTTTCTATGGAAAAAAAAAAGTGTCAGAAATCCACTAGTTATCTACGATGAGTGTACGGAAGAAAACCCCGAAGTAAAAATTACCTTAGCGCTTACAGATTCTCAAAAACAATAAGTATGAAAAGTATTAATAGTATTTCATGAACTAACGAGAAGTACTAATATGATGATGTTAATTAATAGAAAGGTTTCTAGTTGACCAAATGAAAAGAGATAGGGTGACCAAAAAACCACCCAAAAGAAGAATAAAAGAAGAGGAAATCAAGGAGGAAACAAAATCTACAGATCAGAGCTGTTAAAACTCACCTGCAACGTTCTCGTCGCAAATTCAACTCCAATTGTCGATTTAGACTCCAGACAGAACTCATTCCGAGTGAACCTGGAAAGGATATTGGATTTGCCGACACCTGAATCGCCGATCAAGACGATCTTGAAAAGATAATCATACTCGTGATCAACCTTGTGAGCCATGATTTATTTTTGGTACTATCCACCCTACCAGATAGATCCATTTCAAATTCAGACAAAACATCAAAGAGAAGAATTCGAGCGAAAAGCAAAAGCGAAGGAAAGCTTTTCTCTACATGCTGAGGGATCGGACCACCGAAGATGGATGGATAACTTACCCTAAAATGAAGACAAACCAATCGAGATGAAACAGAGGAGATCGTGTTGAAAATGGTACGTTCCGTCTAAAAGAAGAAGAGAAACATTAGGTTTCGAATTCAAAATAGATATATTTTTTTTTTCTGAAAGAGAGGGAGATTCCGATGAGTTGAGTTGCAGAGGCGATGGTTACGACAAGGGAGCCATTGACGAAGGTATTCCCTCTTTGCTTAGCATAGCCAATGAGAGGAAACAGAAAAACCGACGAAAAGGCATTTGAAACGGCCTTGCCTATCGGGAGATTAAAATGAGCAAATTTCGGAGATTTTCAATTTTTCTTTGGGCGGATTGATTTTTGGTGCTGAATTCAGTGAATTGACAACAATTTTTTTACGAACCTTAGCATGCCCCTGGTAAGAAGACTAAAAGAAAAGACAAATCATGAAGTTGTTTCTAACGTAAAGGGGTATTTTTGTCTTTTAGGATATGCACATTACTCAGTCCCCCTTGACTATAATTTCAGCATTTTATTTTACATCCTCGACTCATCGACTGCAGAGGGCCCCAGGGACAACTAGGAAAATACGTCAAAGAATAGCGAGGTCCAATAATCGACAACTGGACGGGCGAGATATTCTGCTCTAGGGCAGGGAGTTTTTAATTTTTCTTTTTGTTAACATATGGCTTGGAGCATGATAGAAAGATGAATGCAATCACAGATCGAATGAAGTGGACTGATGATCAGCAGAGATGTTGTAGTGAATAGTGATCATTGGAATGGGGTCCACCGAGCTGCTCTTCAAGAGTGAAAATCTTTACATTCAGTTGAGGACCTTGAGGTCAGGGCCTTCTGAGTTGTGTTTTTAGGTAATTCGGTGGGTGGGTATTGGGTACTGGGTACTGGGTACTGGGTAGGTAGGAAATATGAAGCAGCAAGGCATTATTGGATGATTATTTGCAATTTGCAACGGGTCTGAGTCGTCCGTCCCTCGTCCGACTGTAGAGCACCCGATCAGAGTCAGAGCAGGTAATCTACAATTCTACAATGGTGCAGGGAAATAGTTATTAAGGCCACCAGGCAGTGGCCTTACGTGAGACAGCCTTGTGTGTGTCAACTCTGCAAATAAGAAATAAAGAAGGCGTAGCTCCACCAATCATCTAAAAAACCCATGTGAAGCTGACACCGTGGATTGACAAGTGGCGACCCCTTCACCTAACAGGCTAACATTTACTATTTAACAATGTTCTTTATTGAGGATCTGGCCAGCGTTGTGTACTAGTATTGTCACTATTGGTCAGCAGATTCGGTGGTAGCCCATCCCCCTAACCTCATGTGTTTTAAAAATCGGCTCGAATCCTAAATGACAATTTTGGTGGGTTGAAGTTGAACGGACAAAGCATTTCATTAACCAGTAAAATCAGGAACGAAGAGTATTCTGGTTTTTAATCCAATCCACGTCTTAAATTAAAACACCGAGTCCCAAACTTTTCAATAAACCTTAAGGTAGAAAAATGTTGGCACTTTTTTGCGTGCCACGTTCATCCAACACATATACTTTTATAAGGAGTCTGTGAACTAACGTTGTCGTTAAATTGGTACTTTGCTGGCTGGTTGTAAGTTGTAACAGAAACTTGGAGGATGTTTGGGATTGTTTAAATTAGTATTTTTTTAATAAGTGTTTACCCCACATTCCCACTCATGGGTGTATAGATAAATTCTCAGGCTAGTTGTAGTATATCTATTTTGATAATTAGGTGGTGGGACAAGACAGGCAAGAAATACAATAAGCACTTATAAAAAGTTATAATTCTTTTATTAGAAACAGATTATTTTTAGGTCATGCTTTGCACAAGTGACGAGGAAAATAGGCTGGGCTTGGGTCAGGCCTATGTGTCTTGTGCATAAAATACCATATATTTATTATTATATGCATATATATATATATATATATATGCGTGTGTGTGTGCAAGACATGCTGAAATTGGCCATTCCTAGTTTGGGAGACTTCCTGCCTTTGATGATGTATTCAGCATAATGTATCCAACCAAATCTGGGAGCATATTCCTGTATAAGATATAGTAACTGAACCGTGGGAATAAATCCCAAACCAACAATTCCTAATAAATAGAAATCAAACTGAATCAACCACTTTGGTTGTTAGCATGGGGGAAAAATGTGAGAGACGAGTGCCTTGTGTGTGTACATGTGTATGTTGCATTTACTCTTATCTTACCTAGAGAAGTGCCCAAAAATTTACTTAAGGCTGCATTTTCCATATATCTTACAATTTTATATATAAAAAAAGGGAAAACTCTCGATTAGTATCTTATATTTTAGGCTTAGTGTTATTTTAGTCTCTGAATTTTAAAATGCAATAATTTAGTATTCGAATTTTCAAAGCGTGTCAATTTAGTACCTGTCATTAATCAGCCCGTTAATCAGCCATTAAGTGTCATTTAAAAAAACACAAATGCCCTTCAAGTGTCATCTATTTTTTTATCAACCATCCAAATATTGATAAAAAACAACAGTCCCAAATCCTTGCCTCTTCTATTCAAGAAAGGTGGAATCACCAAAACTTTCTTGAATAGAAGATACAAGAATATGGGACTATACATTTTTTGTGAACTTTTGGATGGTTGATAAAAAAGAATTAGATGACACTTGAAAGACATTTGTGTCTAAAAATACCCAAATCCTTGCCACTATTTAAGAAAGTTGGAGTCACCAAAACTTTGTTGAATAGAACAGACAAAAATTTGGAACTGTTCATTTTTTATCAACATTTAGATGGTTGATAAAGAGAATTAGATGACACTTGAAGAACATTTGTGTCTTTTTAAATATAACTTAATGACTGATTAACAAGCTAGTTAACGACAGGTACTGAATTGACACATTTTGAAATTCGGGTATTGAATTGTTACTTTTCAAAATTCAAGAACTAAAATGGCATTAGGCATATAGGCCAAAATTACAGGATATTAATCAGAAAATTTCCATAAAAGAATAAAACATTAAAAACTAACACGGGGACATTGACACCTCTGTTCATCTGTTGTCTATTCCCAACAAAAGAACGATGCCAGAGGGAGAAAGAGCCCTTTTAAAAGAGATAAAAATAAGCGACTAACCGTGTTTACCCAAATTTGGAGTGCATTGTAATAGGCATAGTGCCTGGGACAAAGTCTGAACCCATGCAGATGCAGGGTTTGACGCTTGTAACTACAATACAGTGGGGTAATAGGACCATTGAAGGAACAAAAGTTGGAATACTCTTGGTATTAGTTCCTATATTTATGTCGAACTCTAGTCCTTTCCTTGAGTTGGGATCTCCTGCCAATAAAATATGTTCCAATATCTTATCAACTTGTTTTGGCACCTCATATTTTACTATAAAACCGGATCCCACCGTAAAAGTGAGATCATATGATATATCCGGTGTCTGGTGATGTTGATAGGGTGTTAAAATATATTTTATTGACAGGTGATCCAGACTCCCTTTCCTTTCGAGGCATGGTGCCAAACAATGTTGTTAGACTTAGGTCCAATGTAAAATCATTTTGGTCATTGAATCTAAGGGATGATCCTGGGCCAGGCCGGGAAAGCTTAGCACCAATAATAGGGTTATAGGCTTATAGCAACCGGGGCCCGATTTAGGACTTATATCATAAAGTCATAACAATATGTATATGTGGGTCGGGCCTGAAGTATTAGCCCAGCCCAGGCTAGAAATTTATATGCATGATGTGGGCCTGGGGCCAGGTTGTGCTGAGCTGAAAATGATAGCTCCAGCTAAATCACGAGTTAAATAATTTAATAATCAGATTTGATTATTGTATTAAGTTGAAATTATGAAAAAAAAACAGCTGATGTTCTAAAATATCTTTTAAAATTGTTTTACATCACGATAAGTTTAAAATGATAAATATAAGTCATTGTATCCCTTTTTAAAACATATATTTATTATAAATTTTACCATGTCAACATATCTAAAAATAATGGGACCAAAAAACGTCTTGGCTGCCCATTCTCAGTTCTAACAGTCCACTGTCCACCACAATAATTCAAAACCCATCCTGGCGGCTTTAAGTATGGCAACGGAACCCATAGTGGTTTAGATTTTGGAATTCAAATTCTTCTCATGCATAAAAATACATAACCTTTCCTGCATTTAAAGGGTAGAGGTAGGTTGGGTTTAGACTCTATATCTAATCTCTTAATATTTTTTTATCATATATAACCAATAAATAATTAAAATAATACAAATAAACGATAAAGTTTTCAATTATTTGATTAAGATGTGTAAAAAATATATAAGTTATCAATTATCCTTCACATAAGATTCAACAAAATATGGGTTGGGGAGGGTTGGGTTTAGTCTAAAATACCATACCCTACCTATACCCATATGAGTTGTAGAATACTAGAATCCCAAAACCCATTCTTCAGGTAAAAAACCCACTCCATCAGGGAGGGTAGGGTAGAAATTGCCATCCCTACTTAATTGCCTTTATAAACCGATAACTCATTAAACAAGTCAAATGGATCAATGTTTCGATCATCTACCACCATTAACCAATCAATTACTTTCTTTGTAATATAGCAGGTTAGAGGTTAACTAAACCAAAACTGCTATCAAAGTCATAGGACTAACCATGGTTTTGAAAATTGGACCGGTTGACCTGGGAATTGGTCGGGCAATGGATTCTGTTTCACCCTAAAACTATTCTTGGGCCAAAAACTGTTATTTGGTCAGCTACCCACTGACTTGGGTGGTCAAACTGTTGACCCAAACAATGGTTTTTGGCTGTTTTAAAAATTTTAAATCAGAATGGGCCATCCATTCGAATCATACGGTTGGACCATTCGACTCAAAAATCGGTGGCCAAAATGATTCCATGTCCGATCCGGTTTTTAAATCTTTGGGACCAATTGGCCAATTCGACAACAATTTGAAACACTAGTCCAACAATTTGATTGGTACATGTCTAACAAACCAGGTGTCCAATCACGTCAGACAGTCCCACTTTTATTCTCAGGCCAATCTTCTCTTCACAGAGTGCATCTCACATTGACCTCACAGCATGTCTTGGCCCTGTATTTATATTTATTATTCATGAGGAGATGTTCCCAATAGAGGGTACAGAGGTGTAACTGTGAGATCGGTGTGAGTTTCAATCTGTGAGGAGCAGATCCCAATTCGCTAATTGTAGGTGGTACCTATTCCATGCATCATGTGTGAATTGGGATCTGCTCCTCACACCAACCTCACAGGCACATCTCACCATGCATTGGGTACATCTCCCGTGAATAATAATGTATAAGTATGGGAGATGTCCCTAATAGATGATGGGATGTGCATGTGAGG